ATCCTTGGTAACATTATTTTTCCAGCCCTGACAAGAAGCTGCTTTTCTAGTGGGATCCATAAAACTTCCTTAGTGGCTTTTGTCTGGACTTTGAAACACATACAGCCCAAGGTTCCTCAGCCTCATATATTACTTGAATCCTAGAGGGATAGTGTCAATGTATATATACTCTTAGAGTTTCATGGAAGAGCATCCCTCGTGATCCTGCTTTCATACATCCCCACTCCTTTTTTTTTTTTTTTGGTCACTTTTCCTCATTCACGTCTGCATTATACAACAATTTCGGACCCCATGGATATAGTCAGTACTTGGTTGTACCAACCAGCACAAATGGGCAATTGACTTCACTTGGAACCTTACGCACTCCTGCCTTGGTTTATTTAATTTTAAACATCTGAAATATCTATTTAAAATACTCTTTTTGGTTGTTGTTTACAGCTGAGTCCAGCTGGCATTGATATTGCATGAGCCATTGTCTGGGAGCGCCTACCTAGAAACTAATACGTCAAAGTGAGTTACCAGATATCGTTGGCATGAGGCTAGGTAATGGTGATATGGCTTAGCAGTTTTTAGGGCTACCCAGAAAGCCCAAACAAGGAAAGCCTTTCCCAGTGCCACAGGTTGGTCTTTTCCACTGTGGGCAAATGGACCTGCTTCTAGTTCTCATGTTTATGGCACTGGTATAGCTCCACCCAGAATTCTCTGAGCTGTCACACATACGCCCACAAAGACAAACATCTACACACACACACACACACACACACACACACACACACATTTTATAAGAAATATATCCCCCATCTTTAAATGTTAGATTATTTTAAAATTCCAGAGCTTTATACAACAGTTTTTCATGTTTGCTCTATTGTTTGAATACCTGCAAATCTGAACATTTTCTTTAAATATTATCTAAAAGAAACTAAGCATCCATGCAATGTTGAGATAACCCTGATATCCACAAAGATCATTGGTAATGTCATAGAAAACATCAAGAACACTGCAGAGTTGACTACAGAAATGTGTATCTATGGAATTACATAATATCCAGTTAATCCATTGTTAAAGTCATACATTCCTAAATTAGAGATGGTTAGTAACTAAATTTATCTTTACCACTTTTTACTATGCCCTTCTTTGAGTGCACAGATGTATTCATCGGGCAAGTATTTGAAGAGGAATTTGTAATTTAAAATCAGAAAGAGATATTAAAAACAGTCTAATACCATGCTCCATTTGACAGCAGTAGGAACGGAAACCCAGATTGGAAAATTTACATTCTTCAAATTACATTACTGGGGAATAAAAACAAAACAAAACACATGACTTTTTAGGGCCAGACAGACTGAGAACCCAGGTTGTTTGACTTCTACTGGAGTGTGTGTATGTGTGTGTGTGTGTGTGTGTGTGCATGTGTGGTTTTTTTTCTCCACTATTATATAAAGTTGCTTTCTGATAAAATTCTAGGGAAAAACTTTTATAAATACTGGATTGCTGAAAATGTGGGAAAGGGCATAAAAATCACTATTGTGTAAATCTGATCTGTGGCCCCAACTAATTAGAGATCATCTTTGATATAAAAAATGGGGTCTCTCAAGTCAAGTTGTTAGCCATACTGATATTACTTGGTGACTTCCCAGTCTTGGTGGCCAGAATAGCTGGCTAGTTGACCTTGAGAAGAGCTGGAACTGGTGCTAAAACTGGAAGTCTCTGGGAATGAAAATCATAACAATCCTTTAGCCAAGAAGATTTACCCGAAACTAACAGATCTGTAGTAGAGAAAGAAGTTTAATGATGCTATCCAGGGAGGTGTGACCACTACCTCTAGAAAACCTTAGTATAGAAATAGCCAAATAGAACAAAGTAAAGGACCTCAGCAGGGGTCATCTGAATAGCTAGGAGGGGGTGGATTTCTTTGTTGGTAACTTCTTTGGCCACATAAAAAAATGTAACACTGCAGTATAGGAGGTCCCCACTTTTGCCCAATCAGTGACCACACATACACTTTTTTTAACCTAAGATTTATGGCAAACATTATGTTTGTACAATCTGAATTTCCAAAATCTCTTCTCCCACCTACACACCTAATCAGTGTATGTTTTTTATGAGTCCCCTGAGTTTGTAAAACCTTCCAGTGTATTCCTAAGATACTTTGTTTTAAAGGTGCTGACTTCTAGTAAGTTAACCACGTCGTTAAATCCTGTGCCATTTTAATTGAAGTAACAGAGCCGTCAAGAAAAAAGACGAAAGCTGGCAAATGAAATCCCTATCGATGGTTGGGGGATGTTTGGGTTGTAAATTACACATGAGGGTTGGGGAATGTTTGGGTGGTAAATTGCACATGGGCTCGGGCCCCATTTGTCCTTCCTCCTGGTTCAACATATTGTTATCAAAGTTCTTTCTTGAAAGTAATTTAAAAGTTGGGAAAAAATTTTAAATTGGACATCTGAAAAAAGATGCGAGAATGTGGAAGGTAGACCACCTGTATTGGCATTGAAGGCATGTTGGAAACAGATGCCGAGGAAAAGAATGATTTAGGTGGTGACGAAAAAGTCATCCTTCTCACCCTTGGCCAACTTTTCTAATTACCGTCTTCTTTTTCATCAATAAAACTTATTAGGTTTTTCCTCTATCCTGGCTTTTCCTGTTATGAGTTGAGCAGTATGAATTCTTCTTGCCAATTTTCAGATGACGGGGAGTTGGAAGTAGTGGCCGTGACATGAGTCACAGTGACACATAGATTACTCATAGGTTTCCACTCCAGGAAGACAGAATCACCTATTAATAAGGAGTTCTTTCAGCTGTTCAGCAACAGGGGACATGATTCAGTGGAATAAGATTATTCCACATGGATTGTTGGGTGTTTTGCCCAAAGACTTTTTTTTTTCTCGTATGACCTTAGTGCATCATCTTCCTTACTGGTTGAAACAGTCACATAACCCTTGAGAGGAGATTACCGTATAATTAAGGTTTAGGTGTGGTTGACAGGCAGTAATGTTCTCGTATGTTGGAGAATGAATTAGCCAGGCTCTTGCCCAACCTCCTTTGCCAGTGGAAGGAGATTGAAGACACAGAGACTAGAAATGACTAACTGAAAGGGAATACAACCTAAAGCTAAACAGATGGTTTTTGGGAACGGAAATAGAGGTACCAGATCATGTCTAAACTTCCATATATGTCGTCATCATCAGAGTTGAACATTTACTGAGTGCTACTAAGATGAACAGGGTTCTGTTCTACATTCTTTGTTCACTGGCTTTCAAGGCTTACCTTCTAACTGGAGAAATGGTTACCACTGCAAAGTCATGCACAAAGCAAGTGCGAGAAAGACCTGGATAGAGCGTGCTCCTGGAATTTACATGCCTTGGAGGGAATGCAGTAGGTCTCTATCACAGGGACACTTGTGTGCTGAGACTTTCCAGAAATGCAGCCTTGACAGGGCTGCCAGGCTTGGTGGCAGAGTGTGGGCTGAGCAGGGCGTGCACAGTAGGCATTGGCAGCAAGCACAGGTAACGTATTCATTCAGTCATTCAAAGAAAGGTGACTGATGGGGGTGACCGGTTAGCTCAGCGGGTTAGGGCGTGGTGTTGGTAACACCAAGGTTGCCGGTTCGATCCATGCCTGGGCCACTGTGAGCTGCGCCCTCCCTAAAAGAGTCAACTATGCCATTGTAGCATAAAAACAATGTGTAACCAATGATCGTGGCTGTTCCCCAATAAAATTTAAAGAAGAAAGAAAGAGAGAGAGAAAGAAAGAAAGAAAGAAAGAAAGAAAGAAAGAAAGAAAGAAAGAAAGAAAGAAAGAAAAGAAAAGGGAAGAAAGGAAGAAAGAAAGAAAGAAAGGGTGTCTGACATAGGCCACACACTAGTTCTAGATGCAGGGGTACCCCAGTTAACAAGTCAGAAAAGGGTTCTGCCTTCACGAAGCTCATATTCTAGTGAGTGAGACAATCAATGTCAATGATGACAGATTGTCATAAGTGTTAGAAAGCAGATAGTTCAGCTGCTGGAATGAGGATTGAGGGGAAGATATGTCTGGTTGGTGATCCGAGCAGGTCCTTATGATGAGCTGACAGGTAAACTGAGACTGTCAGTAGGAAGGGGTAAGGCCTACGATATGTTGTTAGGCAAGGAGAGACAAGGTGAAGGAAGACTGTGAATGAAAGACAAGGGAAATGTGTTTGTGTCACCACCATCAATAGCACAAGTAGAGAATGGAGTGACAAGTCACAGTGCAGCTGCAGCTGAAAAAGGGGTGCTGAACTTCAACTATGACAGAGACAGGCTCAAACCAAGCTGACCCATGTCCGCTGACCTACCACTCACTTTGGTGTCTCCATCCTCTCTCATCCATTCCTGTTCTGATGGCCACCCCATCTACTGGAATATCTTTTCTCAATTGTTACTTTGCTTTCCCAGCACTTGTAGCTTAATTCCCCAGTCAGTTATAAAGTCCCTTGAAGGTGGACTACGTGTAAGATTTCTCTGTATTTCTCAGCGCCCCTCCTTGCCGGGCATGCAGTGGTAGATGCTCGATAAATATTTGTTCCAGTGAATGAATAAGGCGATCGTGAGAGGAAGTGAACGTTGAGATTGAGTGTGACCATTGCTAGAGGCACCAGTTTGGGGATTAGCCTAAGGTGGCAGTGTTCTCATCAAGGTTACTGTTGCCCAACTTGTGGTTAGGAGGTCAAGAGTGGTAGAAGAAAAACAAAACAAAACAGTTATTCCCATGTCTGTTTAGTCAATGTAAAGGTTAGAATAACTCTCTCTTAGAAACCTCTCTGTTTTCTTCTCTCTCTAGACTGTGCTTTTAGGTGAACTAATTTCTCTCAAAATAAACATTTGAATTCGGGTGGTGAACACACAATGCCATATAAAGATGATGTACTATAGAATTGCACCCTTGAAACCTACATAATTTTACCAACCAATGTGACCGCAATACATTTAATAAAATTAAAAAAAAAAAAGATGTATATTCATTTCAATTTGGAGACTTACCTCTGCAGACCACACTGGCCATGGAGAAACAGGACAATCACCTAAGCTTTCTCCAGGCGTGTATCATTAGAGTGTAGTTCTCATCCAACAGATGAGCCAGCCAAAGGTTTTCTAGAACAAAGACAAAAACAAAACAAAGCAAAACCAAAAACATAGCAACAAAAGGACATGATTCAGGCATTGCCCTAAACAAATAATTATTCAAAGTTTTCTACTGGGCTGAATACTGAAAACATAAAAAGAATCCCCAAAGCCCATGACACTGGATTTGAAAGAGGTCTTAGTCACTTAGCCCAACCTGTAATTTTTGCCAGTAAGGCCACTGTGGCCTAACATCCTAGCTTTGGTCAGTAATCCTTCAAAATTAGAATCTGAGCCCCTGATTGCCAGTCCAAAATCCTTTCCACGATTGCTCCATACTAGAATTGAAAGCAAAATATATGGACCTGGGGAGACCTAGTTGTCACAATTTCAAAAACACGTTTCTGTCTTAAAGCAAACCCTGTTACAGTCAAGAAAGTTGAAACCCAGAGATGTTAGAGTGTGGCATGTTCCTCAAAAAATGTCCCGTGTTAAACCACTGTTTATGCTTTGCTTTTCTTATTCTTGAAAGAGGGTTTTTAATTTCCTTTCGCTTAAGCAGTATCTAAAAACACCGAGCTTCTTATGTGGACCATTGTAGCATATTTGTCTTCGTGTTCATTAGTTTGATGCCCAACACCAGAATGACATCTGAAAGGGGCTATTAATTTCCTCTTCAGCCCTCCTCATCTACTTTATACCGTGTTATGGAATTATCCTTGGCACCCCCTCTTATTGTGATGAAAGCTGGCTTTCTGTTCCTTGTGGGTTTCTCTGCTACAAGCATTTCATCTTTTAACGTGAGATAAAAAACTCCAAGGAAGTACAAATCATACTTCTCTTCTTAAGTGTTTAAATGCCTCCTAGTTGTCTTTTTATCCAAGTAAAAGAGTCTTGTTCTATAACCACTGTCCTTTCCAGGGTTGAGCTTCCTCATCAATTACGTACATCTTCACTGCTGTTTTCAGTTGTGTTTTTTTTTTAATCTATTTTTTAATCAGATTTTTCTTTAGAACATTAAAATTTATTGCCAAAAGAATGAATCATTAAAAAAATGACTTATGGCGGTTGCCTCCCATGAAGACACCCATTTCTCCTGCTAACGTCAAGATTGATGTTGTGTTTTTTACAAAATGACAACAGCCCCCACTACAAAGGGAAACAGCTACCAGAAGAAGGCAGGAGCCGAGGGCTCATCTGGGGCTCTGTTTGTAATCTTAGTCAAATACCAGGCACTTCCAAGGGGACCACACACCTGGAAAATGGCGAGTTGAGAAAGCTTTTAAAATCTCCGTCAGAACCTACTCTTTTCCCAGAACTCTGCCTTCCTGGGTTTCTTTTTATCCCTTTGGAATTTACCAAAGTGCCCCGCCATTTAGGGAAAAAAAAGTCACTGAATAAATATTGAGTAATATGACCCAACTTTTGTGTTTTTAGACATGTGGCAACCAAATTAGTCAACCCAAGGCAAACAGGCTGTGAAATCATTGCATTTTCATATGATTTCATATGGTGTTAGCCTTCTTCTTTCTGTTGTCTGTTTTCAAACTCATTTTTAATGAGATTACTTGTTAAAGGTATCAATTGCTTACCTGTTTTCGAGTGCTAGCATCTGTCTGCTTTCTGAATGTTTCTTTTCAGAATCTGAATTGAGAAAGGAAAATGGGCTTATTAGAAAGCCAGGAATTGACTCGCAGCAGAAAAGGGTCCCAGATGGGTGTTTTGAGGGGGCAAACTTCTATGCATAATTTACATGTGCAATTTTGGGTCTACAGTTCTTTTGGATTTTTAAAGCTTTTATTCATTTTCAAGCTCCCCAGATTTCAACGATGCTCTCCATCAAAACTAAGTCATATTTGAATGGTTTTCTTTCTTTCTCCCCCGTGATGCTGTGATAGGAATCTTACTGAATAGTTAAATATCAACAAACAGTGAAGAGGAAAACAAGAAACAACAGCGATGGTTTTGACTAGTCCATGTCTAAGAAGAAATTACAGCAGCAGTGGTAGCTGTAAAATCCCCCAGTTGTGAAATGCCTACTGTGTGCCAGACTACCTGCCTGCTATGTGTTCATTAAATTTTCAAATGACTGTTGGAAATAGGTAGTCTTGCTTCCAATGTATTATTTCACGAACAGGCTCAGAGAAGTGGAGTGTCTTACCCAACGCCACACAGCTAGTACGTAGCAGGTCTGCAGGAGAATACAAGTTGCTCTGGTTTCCAAGTCAGTTAACTTTGTACTCTATTCCACTGCGCCCTCTCCTCAACTATAGTTTAGTTGGGTCCGATGAAAACATTCTTCTTTTCCACTTTTTTTTTTTGACATCTAGGAATGAATTGAAAAATGAGTGATTTATCCATAGAGAAATTGGGAGTAGGTTACATAGCAAAAGCCAGAATTTTAGGTCTGTCAAAAAAGAAAGTATTCTGTTCAGTAACTGAATTCCAATAATAATAATCTCACTATACGACCATTTCATGTCTGATTATTAATTTGTGTTTACTAAGCATGGATCAAAACGTCAATGAAACACATAAGCTTTGTACTCAGAAGTTACAGTCTGACGTAGACTCAGAGTCACATGGACAATGCCAGGCCAGCATGGCGGAAATGATCAGCATCGCCCCAGAAAAAAGTTAGGGCTCCGACATAGGACCACATGAAAGGTTTGCTTTATGTTGGGTGTCCTTGGGGTTCTGAGCAGGAATCTTTTCAGAAAAATATCTTTAGAGAGTTAAAGCAGATAAGGTGATATGGACTATGTTAACATTTTTGGTTCATTCTCAATGTAACCATAGAAACATGCTGGTCCCAGAGAAGTGAAAGGAAATACATGAGATGAAGTCAAACACAGTACCATTGCTTTATGGCATCTCATATTCTTCAGTGTTTTCTGTTTCAGAGGAGGGTCGTCTATACTGAGAGCTAAACTTGGAGCTCTAGCTACGTAAAACTGCTGTAGCTTCTGCCAGAGCCACGGACTCATCTTTTTGGTCAAAACCATTCAAAATACTGTTACCCCGTAGTTTTTAGAGTATTTTATTCTCCAAAGAACCTATGTCACCCAAATTACATTTAAAGCATTCTCTATTTTCTAAGGTTTAAGACTGATACTTGACTAAAAATAAACCATGTCTAGACCAAGTTGACAGTAAAGGGGGAAAAAAATATGTACATCCAAGACCATCATGCCAAATTTAGGGTCTGGTAGCTGTAAAGCAATGACACATCCTGGGGGTGAACACAGCTGCCCAGTTGGGCATTTGTATTGGCAGAGACCTGGTCCCTCTTGACCATTGCTGGGAATCAGTGGGGGAGGGCAACACGGATGCTGCTGAGAAAGTGTGGCTATGCTGCTGAACTTGGCTTTGGACACTGTGATGTGCTAAGTTCGGTCTACACTGCAAGTCAGACCAGTTAGGTGATCATGTGTCAGTTATCGGGGCCCATATTAAAAGGACGCTGTCCTAATTGCCATTGGAGCTTCGTGTAACCAAAGCAACGTAAATGGATGCCACAGCTCTATCTTGCTGCTTTTCATAGGTCCTGCAATAAAAGCTAAACAGTTTTTAGTGGCTTTTGCAATTATACCTCCCTTCAATTTTCCAAAGGTTACAGGGCCCGAACCACACAAATCCCATTAAAGTAAGTAGTTGTTGTGCAATAAGCTCCTTTGAAAACATTCTTCCGTGCCCATAAAATGATCAGCGGGTTGCTTTTTAGATCCACTTGCCGGCCATGTTTTCAACCCAAAGGCAGATGACCGGCTTTGATGTGGTGGCTGGTTTCTGCTACCGAAGCTGGCGTTTTACCTTCTTGCATCAGATTTCTTCCCAACTGATGTGACTCGGGCATACAAAACACATTCTTCCTTAGATTTTATCCCTAAAATATGTTTTTGCTGTACCTTTAAATTACATTTGGCGGACCGATTTGGAGTCGCCAAGGCCCTCCCATGAGATATAGAGTAGAAGAAGGTCAGGGTTTGGGGGAGTCAACAGAAGCCCGCATGGTGAATGCAAGGCTTTAGGGAGCTGGGATCCGTGGCATGCTGCTTGGTCCTCGTGCGTGAGGATGGCACTTCCCGCCGTCTTCTCCACCCTCCCTTCAGTGCAAGTTCAAAGCCACATGTGGAGTCCACAGTGAATGTCATGGTAGAGCCAAGGGCAAAGCTAGTGTCCTCTTCGACTTGTACCTGAATGCACCAGGGGCGTCCTCCCCAGGACGTAGGGCTTTCTTTCCTGGACAAGTGCTTCATTTGTACTTGAGCATCCTGATCCATTGAAAAGCATCTCTTTCTCAGGTGTGTTCCTATTTGTTTAAATCGGTCCTTTACCTCGGAGCTGTTTTTCTAGTAAGGAGTAAAAACGAAGGACTAATTCCTGTATTTGTAAAGGAGTCAGGACCACCACATGTTGGCCCGTCTCTAGATCTGATGACTAACCTATTTAAAAAAGAAACACAGTAAAAGGGTTTTTGGTTTTTTTTTTATCCACACTCAAAATTATCCACAAACAAAAGATAATGTTTAGTCTAATTATTTTCTATGCACTATTAAAAAGGATAGTTGGACTTCAGAAATTATTCAGCCCTTTAAAAATTCAGATGAATCAACAAAGTCCTAATTTTCAGTGACTGTTTCTACGCCACAATACTACTGTAATTCCTTCAAATTTTATTGTCATTTCATTTATCTAGAGACCTTATTTCTTTTCTATAGGAATACCTGAATTCTTTGAGGTGACAAAACATTTCCATAGGAAGAACTGAACCATCATTTAAAAAAAGTATTTGATTGTACCCTAAAATACATATAGGAATGTAGAGAATGGAGAGATAGATATGAATAGGAGTTCTCAGTGAAGTTCCATTAAGGACACCAGATTTGAGATGTGTCATAGGAAACAGAGATTTTGAACCGGGTCCTAAAATGAAGGAAAGAGCCGGGATGGATAAGGGGAGAAGATGGCACATGGGGGTGTGGGACGGTGCTGAAACCACCCTGACCATAGTTCATCGATGAAGCAAGGACCTGTGGAGGCCACTGAAAAGGAAAATTCAAGAACATCAGGACCAAAGTGCTATTCTAGATGAGAATGGTTGCATTTTTTAATGACTATTCTGGCAGGAATGACAACATGAGACACACATGGACCCTCTTTCTTAGACACTCTTTCTACAGCTAGAATGCAAAAGCCTGTCTTTCTAATACAATTTTACCCAGGGTAGCTTTTTTTTAAATTGTTTTTTTCATCTTTAAGGCTTCATTGCTCGTCTTAAACATGCATATTGTCACCTGCTCTTGAGAGTGGAGTGTAATCAGGAGTCTGGCTCTGTCACAGTTTGCATTGTGACCTGTGGGGCAAGTCACTTCACTCTTCTATGCCTCATTCTTCTCATCTGTCAAATTGAATTAGACAGTTTCCCTGGTTTCATTTGGTGCTGATATTTGATGATTCGTGGGTCCAAGTGAAAATACACCTGTTAATAAGGGCATTTTGCTTGTTTTGATCAGAAAGCTTGTCGATAACGTCACACTTGCAGTTTCCTCAGGCATCCATAGCACATACAAACATAATCATCCACATAGACACCTTGGATTTGAAACACTGTGATTTTGATAAAAATGTGTCCATGTCCCCTGTGGTTATTCGGCAGCTTGGTGCATCCCACCCACTGCGGAATTCCAAAGAACGAAAGGCTTCCTCAAGTCCAGTCGGACTTCAGTATCCTAGGACAGCATGCTTCCAAATTAACCTTCGCTGGAGCTGTTTTCATAAGAAAGATGGTCTTCCAGCAGCGATAATAAACTGCTTCCGCTCCTGTGCAGTCAGAGCCCAGAGTCTGATAAAGAGCTTATCACAGGCCCTTCAGATGCCTGCCCCCCATAAACCTCTGCGATGTTCACATTTTCTCTCATGCTGTGAGGAGCCTGTGCTGGGTCCTGCTCTTGTGTGTTCGTGTTGGGGAACCGGGGATCTCACGCTTTGTGATGCGTGAGCAAAGACAGACGTGCCAGGGGCTGCCGCTCAAGCTGCCTGTGTTGTCCCCTCACTGTCTCTTTCTGTTACACTCGCATTTGGAAGGACGTTTGCCAGACCCAGACTCCATGGACCCCTGTCATTGGTGTCTTTTCTCACCTTCCCCATGATCCAGACTCGTGTTTTCATTTGTTAAAAACAACAAGAACAGTCACCGGGAAACTTCTGTGTCAGGTCACCATGGCTATTTATTCTCTGTCATAAACCATCATTCTCCGTTTCCCTGACTCCCACGTCAGGGGAGTTGGTGGTTTATGGTGGACCGTCGGTTGGGTTTGCAGGAACAGGGGAAGATTTCAAAGAACAACTGAGAGATTTCTGTAGTAGGTTGTAGAGCTAAGAAGAAAACACCAAATATCCTTGCTCTTGATCACAGCTTGGCTGTAGAAGAAAAAAACAGGCTTACGAAACAGCATAAAGGACTTGGAATTTGTGGTTACACCTGAGAAAGCTCTTCCCTTTGAGGGAGGAAAACACATTATGGGGTTGGCTTAATAAGCGATTTCCTTTATGGGATTAAAAATAATAGTCTGTGATCTGCCCAATTGGTCTCTGTCTGGAGTAGGCACAGAAGCTAAGGATTTTTTGCTGACTTCTGTTTAATGGGGGCATGAAATGATGGCTGTGGTGGTGTTGTAACAAGACACAGAACTGTAGACAAAGAAATTTGGGAAAGAATGGGAACACCAGGAATGCCTCCAAATATTCAAATAGAAAGGAAGAAACGAATGCAAAGCAATGGCTCAAAGGTGTTTGATCCTAGGTGCTTGAATTCCAGTGTTGATATTATTGGAAACCAGCTTTGCTAATACCTAAATAGTGGTATAACGAGCGATGTTGGTTGGCATATTCTAGGCCTGGAGAGATCTCACAAGTCATGGTAATTAAATTGGCTCCATTCTCAAGATGCCACTGATCTGACACTGGTCTGAGGGTGACACAACAGTGTCTTCAACGCAGAGCTCCTAGTTCAAGTACAACAGGACCAGAGAGAGAGTTGGCCATGACCAACCAAGAAGCTGAGAGAATGGGTGTCAGCAGCTTCTTGGCTGGAGGAATGTGGTTGAGATCACATGGTTGGTTGTTTGTTTGTTTTCTGTAGACACAGTTTTTAAAAAGAAGAGAAGTTTCCCTGAAAACAAACTCAACAAGTACTATATCTGGGTGTTTTAAATATCAAGAGGAAATGTGCCATCTCTGTTCTAAAGTCCAAGGGCATTCCTGGTGAGGCAGCCCTCACGAGGTAGGTAGCTCTGATCAAAAAGACTTAGAGGCCTCAGTTGTTAGGCACTGAGAGATCTGGGCAAGGTGCTCCCAGATTTAAGCCACACTTTGAATCCACACCCAGATCTAGAACACGGCCTCAATTTGTAAGAAGAATCCTATTGGAGTTCAGGTAGGTGGCACATTTTGTAGGCCATCATGATTCGTGCACTTGAGGCTCTTGAGTGTGTTGTGTGTTTATGGTCAGAGATGATCAGGAGATGTTACATGTTGGAAAAAACGGCTGAGAGCTACTTTCTGCTGAATGTGGAGCGAGCGGCCCAGCTCTCCTTTCTCTCCATCCTCTCATGCCCTGCTATTTTTCTTTGGGCCGAGTCTCTTTGGGGACAGCTCTTGGAAGTGTAAGCCCAGTTCATTAGGCTGGCATGTGTCTGGGGCCTCAGCAGCTTGGCATGTCAATCTGTGCACAGGCTCTGTGGTGGCCTGGGCCTCAGGGTGATGGCTCAGTGGTGGCGTTAGCATCCCTGGTATTCCGCTCAGCTTCACACATTCATCATTCCTGCCTGGGCTGAGTGGGGGTGGCAGGACATGACCACATGGCTCTCTGGCTGCTGTGGGCGAGCCAGCTGATCAGCTTGCCAACGTGCTTTTGGGGGAACTAAAAGAAAACCAACGAGGAAACTTGACAGATGAAAACATGGGGTCATGATTCTCCAAAGGTCCCTAAGATTTCAGGGCCCTAGGAATCAATTTTGGAGTGAAATGGTTTCAGAGATCTTTCAGTTCTGTTTCCAGTTCTTGAGTTCTCACAGTGATAAGGTGAGCCCCAGGCCACTGTGGGCTTAGCTTGAGGGTCTGCAGCAGTAGCTCTGAGGCCTGTCTCAGCAACAGCATGGGGCCACGAGCAAATGCAGGTAGCAATTACTGGCTGACTCCAAGAGAAGGCGTGGTGAAACAGACATCCCTCTAGGCAGTCTGAACATGGTTTTTCATCTATAATGCTGCCTTTGTGTTTGGGTGGGTATGTTGAGGAGAAGGAACCAGGGGACAGTTGGCGTCCTTGGCTCTGAAACTGTATGAATGAACATAATATTGTTAAAGACCAATAAGGTCCAAAGCAACCTACTCTTCCTCCCCCATCTCTAGAGAAGTCCAGAGAACCTGGGAAGCAGTAAACTTCTCCTTAGCCTCCTGAACACCACATGCGTCAAGGAGCATGCAAGGAATGTCCCTGTGACAGCTCAGGTCTGGCCCCAGATTTCAAAGCCACACCCAGTTGTCACAACGACTGGGGTTCTTTTCTTAAAAAAGATTTTATTAGGGAATTGGGGGAGGGGAACAGCTTTGGGGAATCGGAGAAGGGAACAGACAAGTTGCTGTCCTTTTGTTCTTCAGTCTAGTTGTGGAGGACGTCGCTTCACTGGCCCATGTTGGTATTATCATTGCGCTCTTCCTGGGTGAGGCAGTCACTCACCAGTCATTGGACGGCTGCTCATGGCGGCTCACTGCAGCTCACACCCACTGCCGGCCGCTCACGCCAGCAGCTGGCCAGCCGCACTGCAGTCTATGCCGTCGCCAGCAACTCACTGCAGCCCAGCTCTAGGTCGAGCTGTTGTTCACCATCTTAGCTGGCCCTCATGTGGGATCTGAACTGGGCCTGCTGCTCAGAGCTGGCCTCCCAAGCCAATCCTTAACCAAAGCGCCACTCGGCCAGCCCCAAAGGACTGGGGTTCTTGGCCTTGGAAGTTGTGAGCACCTGTGCCGCATTTGCATATTGAAAGAGGTGTCAGGCTGTAGCCCTTTGATAAGGATGTGAGCTAAGGAAACAACATCTCTCTGTAGATAGAGAGCAGAGAAGAGTAAACCGGGACCCTTAACATGACGTCAGCTCCTTATCATCAAAGTCTTCTATTCCAGACGATCAGCTGAACTCAGAGGAAAAGAAGAAGAGAAAGCAGCGGAGGAACCGGACCACCTTCAACAGCAGCCAGCTGCAGGCTTTGGAGCGCGTCTTCGAGAGGACCCACTACCCCGATGCTTTCGTGCGGGAAGACCTCGCCCGCCGTGTGAACCTCACGGAGGCCCGAGTGCAGGTAACCTCAGAGCCACACCTCTGAAGGCTGTTTCCGAACATGAGCTCCATGTCTCAGACTGGACAGTGTGAGCACAGAGTCCATTTCTAACGGCGTTTCTTTAGGCAACAGAGTGATTGGAAAAATCAAATGGAATGCCTTTAGGTGGGATGGGCTATGCCTTCTACCGGTCTCCCTCCTCCTCCTCGTTTCTCACCCTTTCAGATTCCTGTTGAGGATTTGAACCCCCCCCCCCAGATTTCAACTTGAGCTTTAGGGCAGCCAAAGAGATCAATTCTCGGACCCCTACCTCAGTTTTCCTCCCGAGATGTTGGGAATGTACAAACCTTTAAGAAATGTGTTATAACTGCACACGTTTGTGGACACGGTGGGAGTGGGAAATGAACACATACAGGCCTTGAACTCAGGAACTGTGCCAAGGGCACATTCAAGTAGATGAGCTTGAATTTCTGTGAAGGAGGCTAAGGGCATATACAAGGTCAAGAGAGAGCAGCAATTCTTTCCAACATCAATGCCATGATACATCAAGACACAATACAATGTGTAATTAGTAGTAATAATGGTGATAAGGTAACTCACACTACTTGAGCCCTTATAGGCCAAGTACTGGTCTAAGTTCTTTCCATGAACAATTCTGTTTAACCTTCACACCAATTCACTGAGGTGGCTAGTATTCTTCATCTTACAGATGAGAAAACTGAGGCACAGAGCGGTTACAGTATTTTGCCCAATGTCACACAGCTCGAAAGTGGCTGAACTAGGATTTGAACATGGATACTCAGATCCAGAAGTCATGCTTTTCAGCAAGCACCACAGCAGACTGTGCATAAATACAAGTCTCCTGGCTAAATGCTTTTTCAAAGAGTGCTTTGTTTTCTCTGCAGAAAGTCACAATCTTATTATCCTCTATGTTCCCAGGGGTAGGCTGCTGTTTTGATTGGGGGGGTGGGTGGGGGGTGCAAATATGTCTTGTCTTCCTGAAGAAATTATTGTTTGTACGGCTGTGTTCGGGTCTGGACTGGAAGGATTTCTTTCTGCAAATAATAACCCTCTAGCAGGCCGGGGACTTGAGTGAACCCTAAATGCCTTGAGGTAGGAACTCTGTGCCATGAAGCTTGGCACATTGAGAGAGGTAAAAGGGGAAAGTTGCCTGGGCACCGTGGTGGCACCGAGGGTTGGTTAGAAGGCACAAGTGAGGTGCGTACATCACTGCTTGGCGATCTCTCGCTCAGGTAAGAGTGATCATCACAGCTTCGCTGTCTCCAGCCTCCCATCCAAAGCAGAGCTCTGAGGTCAGCCTCCCACATCCTCTTCCTCCATGCCACTTACCACGGCTCTCCAAACATGCTCTGTTTGTACTCTTAAATTCCTTCTTCTCTCCTATGAAACCCCATATCTTTTATGCCCCAGGCTTGGCCTGCAGTGGTCAGATGAATAGCTTTAGACCAAATAACCCACAGCACCTGAAAGTACCACTTTTGCTGTGGTGATCTGAATTTTTAATGAAGAAACCTGGACAGGCTGCCAAAAATGAAAAAAAAAAAAAAAAGGAACAAACAGTTGTGGGATGGGGAGCTATTTTGGCCCCAACACAACAATAATTAAATGCCTTTCTCATATGTTGAAACTATTTTATCTTCCTCCTTTCTTGCCCTACTATGTGGCTTTCAGAGCTGTGAACACATCCCATGTGAGCAGGCCAGAATTCTCCCCATGACTTTTTTCTTCCTCTATGAAGTCTCACTTTTTCCCATATGAACCCCTTCCTTCCAGCTCTGGCCTCCTTTCTATGTGTGGCACTTATCACAACATGACATGTAGAATATTGAGTTGTATGTGGGCCAACTTCCCCAGCTAGACTATGACGTCCTCTTGGATGGAAGCCATATCTTATCATCTTTGCACAATTCAACTTTTTTCCTCTACTTTTTTTTTTTTGGCCTCAAACATTTATCAAGCACCTATGATGCTCTTGGAACTGATCTTGGTTTTCTGGGGATGAATAAGACACTGGCCCTTCCTTAAGAATGTCATAGATGGGACAGAGAAGACAGACGTGCATATTACACTGTTACAACATGTAAAATAATCTTACACTAAAGAAATGTTCAAGAATTAGTGATTAAAAAAGAAATAGAAAAAAAAACAAAATTAAAAGAGAACTAGTGATAGACTGGAGGAAAGAATGATCAAATCCACCTGGGGAGGAAGAGCGAGACTACATATCTATCAATCAATAAATCACTCCACCTGCGCCAATGCTCACACCTGCCCTGTGAGTTGGTATTGTTAGCTCTATTTGACTGGGAGATAAACAATCAGAGAAATTAAAAAACTATCCAAGGGCAAATCTTTAAAGTTGTGGGGCCAGCATTTTTATCCAACTCTGCTAGATAGATTTTAAGGTCATGTTCTTTCCATGACGACATTGCACAAAGGAGGTAATATTAAAGTCAAATCTAGAAAAACATGCCTTTTGACACCTGGGCAGAGGGGAAGCATTTCACAGGCAGGGGGAGCATTTGGTACGAATATACATAGGTGGGAAACAACCAAATCCAGCAATAGCCTTGGGCCCGGGGCTGGAGGTGGAAGGCTAGAGGGCCAGTGCTCAAGGTCCAAGTGATGCCGGATGTGGCTGGATTGGTGGACAAAGAGCTCATTCCTGACTGGTCTTTGTTCTATGGTAAGATGTTTTGATTTCATTCTGTGAGTGATGGGGAGCCCATGGATGATATATAGCAGGGCACGATTACATATGCACTTAAAATGATAACTCCGGTAGCAGTGTGAAGGGCGTAGTAGATGCAAATGAGCTGGGAATCTGCAAAGCCAGGAAAGCCGTGTCCAGGCTCTGCCTTTACTGATGTCCCCCTGAGTCTTCGACGGGGCACCGAGCCCATGGGGTTATCTTTGAATGTTGCCCCCTAGAGCTGTGCAGCTGTCCCAGGCTACACCCTAGAATTTCTTTCTCTCACACCTTGTCATGCGTTTCTACGATTGCACCTAAAACTCTCATTTCTGCAGTTTTTCAAATTTGCATGCCTGTCTTCGTTTAATAGCCTGTGAGCTGCTTATGAGCAGGGTTTCATCTCTCTGTTCCCAGCATTTAGCACAGAGTCTTCAACAGGGCAGACTCTCCATAGAGATTTCCAGAATGAATACACGAGTGAATAAAATCCCATGGCTGCCCGGAAGAGTTGTAGGATCATGAGTCAGATGTTCTTGAGCTCAAAAACTCTGCCACTTATTATCTGAGTGAACATCAACAGATTCCATAATCTCACGGAAACTGTTTCTTCAACCCTGAAATAGAAATAATAAAACCTAATATGTGGAATTGTCATGATAACTAGAAAGAAGGTATGGGACAGGCTCATATAAGTTCCTAGCCCTAGTAGCACCTAATAAATGGCAGGTTTATTATTAGCTGTAGCCAGTGATGATGGCACCAGCAGCCGTATCCCTCAAACCTTATATTTGAATGTACTCCATCCAACTTCCAAACTTCATTATCTTCATTTTCCTTTCATGAGTTTCTTTCTACAAATCCTCAGCGCGCTCCCCCATCGTGGGAGGGTGTGTCCTGCATGAATCTTACCGTCCCCTCCCGTGGGACTAAGCCACCACAGGGGAGCAGCCTTAGCACACTCTTTAGTGGCCCCTTCTCTTCTCTGCTACTTCCTCATTCTCCCTGTATCCCTCCCAACGAAACCATCTGCTTCTTAAAGTCTTGTCACATGGTCAACTTTTGGGAAGATGGCGAATTTTCCTTACATATCCCATCAGCATTATGAAAGCACATGAGGTTTTTACATTTTGAAGAATTTTGGGAAAAAAAAACAAAAAAACCCACACAAAAAATGTCATTGTCTCTGTGGCAAAAGTCTAAGAGATATTTTCTTCTTTTTCTTGACTGCAATTACAATAGGAATAATAAGCCTTGTTTTGCTGTCTCTTGGGTTAGTCGTAGATTTCACCTCTGGAGTCTTGATGGCTGGAAGTACCACCTCCTAGTCCTGTTATAAGAGTCTTTACCCTTAAAAGCTCTCTCACAGGGCCCACCAGGGGAGGATCATGGCATATTCTATTGTTCTCCAGAGAATTCCATACCTACCCTCCATCTTCCTTGGGAGGGCATCATACAGTAAAATCAACGAGGACTTTGTGTCATGTAACCACCTCTTATTTGTTTTTCCTCTCCCTCCTCATGCCCTTCTCTCCTCCCAACCATCTTCCAGGTGTGGTTTCAGAACCGAAGAGCCAAATTCCGCAGGAACGAAAGAGCCATGCTGGCCAATAAAAACGCTTCCCTCCTCAAATCCTACTCAGGAGATGTGACTGCCGTGGAGCAGCCCATTGTGCCTCGTCCTGCTCCAAGACCCACCGATTATCTCTCCTGGGGGACGGCCTCTCCGTACAGGTGAATGACGGGCCCACTCTCCCTTGCTCCACTGCCACATGTTTCTCAGCGGTCGGTCACGTTCAAAGCTGCTTTCTCACTGGTTAACCTCTTCAGAGACATTCAACTTGCTGACATCCCCAGATTTTTCACAGGCGATTACTAGTTGCCCCAGGAGCAGGGTTTGGGGCAGAAGACAGAGAGGCAGGCCACCAGCAGTCTCCTCTTGGACTCAGGAACTCATGCAAAGGTTTCCAAGATGGGAAAGGTTCTAAAAGAAAAGATCCTTAAGCTATGCTCAGAGTCCCTCTTGCAGCCATGCTGGAACAAAACTTTACTCCATTTCCAAATTCCAGATAGATTTGTTTAACTATGCTCAAGTAGTAATTTAATTTGTAAGGCTCGAGGTCTAGGACCAAAGGCAAACGTCACAGTGAAACTGATTTTGAATTAAAGGGAAGGAAGGTAAAGAAGGGAGGAAGGGAGGGAGAGGGGGAGGAAAGAAAGGAGGGAAGCAGAGGTAGAGAGAGGAGGAAAGAAAATCCACAATCATTCTGATCACTTTCATGGCCACAGTTCTCTGTTAATGGGTGGGGATGTCTTACCATCCAAAACGCCTTCCTATTCTATTGCTAAATCTTATCTACTTCTCTGAAGTTCTCTGGGGATCAGTTTGTTGGTGTGGGTTTTTTTTTAACATATAAAAATAATGTATAATTGACACTAAACTTTTATATTAAAAAGGTGAAAAAATTTAAAGGAGCAGATAATAGAGTACTATTTCAATGTCTCGGAGAGGCTTTTAACCTCCGTTGACTATGCTGTTCAGAAACTCTAGGTCGGTGCCAGGGGAAGCCGAGAAACCAGTGCCCAACGCATTGTCATCAGTCGAGAGTGCCTTTGTTTGAACCTAAACCTGAGTACTCCTAGAAACCAGGTCAAGGCTATGTGTTCTCTCTGGCTGATGGCAGTGGAGGAAGGGCTAGTTACAAAGTCATTGATTATGCTTTGGTTACCTTTTTATTGTTCAGGTTAACTAATCGGTTAAAGAGATGTTTGAAATTAATTATAGGAGATTATCCCCCAGTTGAAGCTGAACTCCTGATGTGAAATGGCACATCTGTGAAAATCAAATACTATTCAAACATTGATTGCTCTAATCAAAGCAAAAGACCTCACCTAAATGGTCTATCTCAAATCAGTCCCTTGAAAGACACATGATAAGTGCATTTGGAAATCTCTTTTAAAGACCACCACCAACCCCCATCCCCCGCCACCTTGGTGAAATTAGCCTGAGCTACTTTTGTCTTAGTACATAGAGACGCCATGCATAGGGAACTGGAAATTCTTACGGCTCTCAGACATGCTGATTTCAAAAGATTAGTCATATCTGTGTGTGCTATTTGAAAATTTAGACTCCTCTCCCGTAGAATTCATGAAAGATGCATTTTGAAGACCATTGTGAAATCACCTACTCTTTAATATTTTAAATACGTGAAAGACTGCTTTGTTTCTCTGATAAATATCGATAGTTCATAGACTCACTAAATGGCCTGTGAAATGGATGTGGTTCCAAGCTTGATGTTTCAAGGTCTCTGGTTTGAGTTTGGTCCCGACCAGGAAGTACTATTCCCTTTTCTGCCTGGGTCCTAGGTAGGAACTTTTCACACCAGCTCTAAACAATCCAGATGGTTGTCAAGTGGTGCTTACTAGCGAGAGGCTGAGGGCAGGACACTGCACGTGTAGGGGTGAAAGGCTTCTCGAGTTTATTCTGGGTTAGATCACCTGGACCTCAGCAGAAGTTCAAGCCCCAGTGCCTGCATCATATATATTTTGCATATGGGCATCTAACTGAAATTATTTACATGCAATTTATGTGTGCCTTTTTTGGGGCAAATGTTCCATTTTAATTTGAAAGATTATGTAGAAATCCTAGACACATTTTTAAAAAACAGTCATAATTCCACCATCTTGACATAACTAGTTTGTTTATTTTTGCAATTAGAGTTCAGTATTTTATATAGTGTAGATGTAGTGTACATATGATTTTGTATTCTGCTCTTTTCACTTAAAATTATATAACCTAGTACATTTTACTCATTTCATGGTATACTTGTATATCATTTCTCTCTTAGACACAGAGTTTGTAAAAAAAAATAATTAATTCAAAAATTCATAGAATCTGATTGTTCATATTCTGTGTGAAGAATAAGTTAATCTCCAAATATAAGTAGAAAAACAATGGTTTAAAGCAGTAATTTAATCAATAATAATGTTTTTGACCCAATGTTGACTGAAGTGTTTCTATTTTGGTTAATTTCTAAAAGTGGCAAAAAGCTATTCTGTTACTCGGAGATTTTTCTGCTATGTTTAGAACCAAAATACTTTCTGATTCCACATTTTTGAAGCTTGGCAGGAACTAGAAGTCTTGTTAAGGAAAGATAAAAGAAAACCAAGTGATGGAAAGCAAAGGAAATGATAGGCCGTTTTGTGTTATGGAAAATAACCCGCTATTTCTGTTGGTACTACTATGTCAAGCTAGTTATCTCACATGTGACATTCATTAAAAGGCATTTCTCTTGGTTAATCCTTGGAACGCTCCTGTGTGGTAGCTCTGTCCTTGCTCTGGTTCCAAAAAAGAGACTGAACACTTGCCCACGTTTCAGCCTTCGGCTAGCAGAATTAGACCCAGTGATCCCTGCTTCCGCCCAACACGGCCATATTGTCATTCAAATTAAACCTTACATCATATTGAACATAGTCAAATGCATAAGAGTGGGAAACTGTGTAAACATGCCTTTTTGATTCAGGGTCTGTCTCAGATCAGCGACACATGCCTGCAGCCGAGGTCCACCTTCTGAGCTGTGTGGGGACATGCCCTTGGGGTGACGGATGTGGCTTGGTCATGCAACCCAGGGACATTGAGCGGGCGCTATTGCCAGACAGTGCAGTTTGCTGACTTCCACAGCTCTCCCCTGCAAGAGGAGAAAACCAAGACTCAGAGCAATTGTGTGCATATGGTCAGAATTACGGGATGGGAAATAGCCAACACTGGGTGTCTTTTATAGCCAGAGTGGTGGCTGTATAATGTATCATCCAAACTGGGACACTTTTGAGAGGAAAAGGGGAGCACTATTAATAATAACACGAGAACAACAGGCATTAAACTGGGATTGTCCCTGGCAAACTGGGACATATAGTTCACGACGCTATTTTTAGCACATCATGGCCTCGTCCGTTCACTTGAGCATATTAGAGGTGATGATGTCAGGCAGGCAACTGAGTTACCAGAAGGAGCAGAGCACTCCCTAACACGAGCACTTCCGTCCTGGCAGGTGTCTTCTTTAACTCCCTAGAGCCAGCGGAAGAAAGCTTGTGTTTGGCACACATGCCCCCTGCTTAGCTCAGAAGGGTTTTCCTTAGGTGAATGAAAGCACACGTCGGCACCAACATTATTAAGACTCGTGCTTTGCCTCTCGGGTAGCACTCATTGACCAAGTCCTGGCCTTCTGTGATTTGAAATGAAGGCGTCTAAAACCCTTTCCCCAGAGATATCCTTTCCTAGGAAACCTAGAGAGGAAATAGCCTGGTTCTGCAGTCTTGGTCTGAGGGACCGTTTCCAGAGGGAGGGCTGGGTTTCAAAGAAAATGAATGGCAAGCGACAGGGAGGCCAGCTCTCCTTGTCCACAGCTCTCCTCCCCTAACCTCCTCCCCTCATATGATGGTGGTCGCAGGGTGCCTGACATCTGCTCAACGCGTTTGGCTCATTTCTCCCTTTCACACTTTCAAAAATAGATCCTCTTCCTTCCCAAGATGTTGTTTACACGAGGGGCTTCATAACGGATTCTAACGGAAGACACTGGAAAGGTAACTTGTCAGAGGGGGGCGGGGGGTGGCCGCTGGGGGTAGGGTTTAAGTGGGACATGAGTGTGTTCAAGAAAGTGGGGCTTGCAGACCTAGGAATGAAAGCAGGGAGGTCCTTGCGTGGGGAATACCATTGGAAGCCAACCAGAGCTGCCCGAGAATGGGTCCCTAAAGTTCAGGGTCATCGGGTAGCCTAGAGGAGGGCGCCTCAGAGATGACTGCACCTAGAGACAACCGGGCAGTGTGTGACAATGCAGACTCAGTTTCAGTAAGTCTGGGGCACAACCTGATCTGCATCTCCATGCCCTCATATGACCCATACTATTGACACTCGGTGCATACTTTGAACAGTGAGGCTTTCGGTAACTGTAAGGTATGGGGCAGAGGTTGGAGGAACCGTGTTCTTGTCCTGGCTCGTGGGGCTCCTTGGGCCAGTTGAGTTTCCACCTCTTATGGAGCCTCGTATCTGAGATTGAGCTGATGACAATTTTCCTACTACCTCCCAGGGGCGTTTGGAACTGATAAGTAAGCAATGTGCATTTCAAAGAAAAAATACAAAAATCGTTGAGACAATGGAAGGATGCAAGGCTCCCTATATACAACATCTGTAGAAAGAAAAGTTTAAAATGGCAGGAGGATCGCTGAACGTGCAGGGTACACTGAAGCCTTACCAGGGAAATGCGGTCCACGTGGGTCCACTGGAAGAGCTGAATGCACATTAAAAAAAAAAATCAACTTCTGAATTTTAAAAACAGAAGTCAGAAATGATTCTCTAAATCACAAAAGATCACTTCCAAAAGGATTGACGGGGGTCTCTTTTTAAAAGTAAATTTCCCCAGGAAAACTTGTGCTGAATTTTCTTAGATGTAGCAAGTACACCTCCGTTGTTCTTGCAATGACAAAAGACCTAACCTAAGAGACGGTCCCCAACCTCTACATGTCACAGACAGAGTTGCAAGCTCCATGGACATTGTTAGAATCCTGAGCTGGGAAAACCTAGGGTCTCAGGGAGCACAGAGACTTCTTGGGCTGGCAGATGTGTGTGTGGGGTGGGATTTTCAACAGCTTGTCATCATTTGTCCAAAGGGGCCAAATAGAAAACAAAGGTAGAGTTGAAACTGAGTCAGGTTTTATTGTTGCCCCCGCTCTCCTCAGAGGTTTTATGATTTGTGGGATTTTATGGGTGATCAGAAGGAGAGGGGCAGCTGTCCATATGTTTCCTGGTTTTAAAATCATACCATGAACAGCATTTACCATACTTCCTTGGTGTTTGACAGTCCTTGTAACACTTTCTTCCCCACAACAACCTTTCAGGGAAGGTTGAAATGATTGAAAACAATTTATCCCCAGTGGAACCCAAATGGTAAGCCTGCTGGTGGCCAGCATTCTTGCCGCCTAAGGCTGTGCTCCATCTGTTAGTCGTCTCCAAAGAAAGAGGTGGAAAATTTTCAAGCTTACTTCAGTGTCTCAGCTCTGTGCAAGTCTCATTGGCAACTGGCTGCATCGACAGATGGGACACGAGTATTTCTTTTTCATCTCGAATTCTTCAGTGCTCTTTTTTTGCCAGTGTAGTTCCTTGGACATGGACACGAAGAACGTTCCATTCTTAAAAATGAACTAGAAATGTTGCTTTAGCCAAACTCTATGAACCCAGTCCCAGTACTCATGTCATGTTGACATCCTATTAGAGGAGTAGGTGGTTCTTACTCATAAAGCAACGCCAGTGGGCAGGATCTCTGGGGGTCGGTCAGCGGACTCTTGGTGTTATGTGCTTACTCTATTCTAACCACTTAGTTTCAATCTCACCTTTTCATCCCAGGAAGCTTTCTCCTACACAGGAAGGAGTGGTCACTTGACATGGTTTGAATGGTTGTATAAATTTGACTGAAGGGAGCTTATTGTCCTCATTGGTTTCTGTCTTGTGAGAAAACATTTCAGAGTTCTCTTTCTTTTCCTAATGCAGAGCTTCAGACGTTTTGGTGACATGGAAAACAGGTGGTCATGAACAGTCTGACTGGCAGTCACTCAAGGCTCTCTTGCATCTGTTGTCACTTTTGCAAATGGGTCCCCCCCACCTTACTTCTAGTGTCATTTTTAAAGAATGACTAAACTGTTCTTGAAGGGCCCACCCACGAGTTCTGTCTTTTCTGACCAGTAACAAGTCTTGTTTGTGATGGGTATGTCAAAGGACTGCTCCCTGCTTGCCCCCATGACACTTTGAGTTCAAGTTGAGAAGCTAGACCCATGTCAAACTACTCGGGGAAAACAGACTTGTGATTCTCTAGCATGCACAGAAAATCTCACTTGTAGAGTCAGTCTAAACATTTGGTAAGAGGCTGTGAATAAAGACCATCTCTATTCTTTTATTTAATCTTATGACTATTCAATGCTGGGGTAATTTAGATCAATTTTTGAGAGTTTATAACTTTCCTGAACATTTATCAAGTGAAAATGTTATCACTTCCCAAGCTCCTAGGGAATTGCAAAACTCACTCATGAATATCAGCTGCTTTTTTTATCCTCCTGTCCCACTAGCTTGAGGGCTTCCTACAAGGCATTGCCAGGGTGTCCTTATATAGCGGTGTCCTTATATAGCAGTGTCCTTATGACAGTATAATCAGACAGGGTGCTATTCTCAACTCTAAACAGGCTACCACTTAAGGGAATAGATCTCAGTGAAAAATCCAATCTCCCGTGCAAAACAGAACCCAAATTTCCACTAATTTGGTTTTTAGATGAAAACAGATTGAGATCCATCCCAGTTGGATATTAATATCCAGCCTTCATTGGAGAAAGAACCTCAGTATTTCCAAGAAAGGTGTTACCATAGTAAGTCTTCAGACTAGCATAGCAGATGATATTAGTAAACTACGCAGTAACTATTACAAAATGGTTTTACAATAGATAAAATTGAAATCACAACTATAATAGACTTTTCTAGAAAACAGTAACAGCATCTTCAGTAAACTATGTCCCCCAAGGTTCTAATTCCCTTTGTCTGCTAAGAAAAATGGACCACACCTTTGCTTATTAGAAAAGGAGAGAATCTCTATTAAATAGGAGTTCACTTGTTCAGAATCTCAAAGAATGGAAAAAGTATCCCTCAGAAAATGAGGCCAAGTGCTTAAAAGCACAATGCTCCACGACAATCTACAAGTTGCCATAAGAGAATTTTTTCTTTACGCTCTCTCATGAGTTTTAGTCTTCTGTTTCCAGAAGCCATTCATTTTCATTCTCAGTACTAAACAAATACTACAGCTAACTCACAATAGCAGCTTTCTCATATGCATTTAAAATGCTACTATGTACCATCTTAGGGTTGAATGCTCTCACAGAAACCTGGTTGAGAAAGGCCGGTTTAGTTGATTTCATGATCTAGAACTTAGGTACACTTCCCAAATCCAATGGTCTCTTTTCCTACCTACTCACATCTTTGAATTCTTTGCAATCTTAGATTTCAGTGTATCCTAGAAATTCCTTGAGTACAGGATTTATGGATTTGCATATATTTCTAGCAGGGTCTTGAATGGAATCACACAATACATATAGTTATGAAATGATTATATGTATGTGGGTTTGGAGAATAAATGAAATTTCTTGGTGTATTGTAAAAAAAAAAAACTTGTTTCATTTTCATGGGTTGTCCTGATCATTTATCTCACTCCTAATTGAAACCTGCCTTAACTGGGGACTCTTTCTGCTTCTGTCTCTGTTAGACGGTGGTAGAACCAAGAGTCTATTCTATAAGTCTAACCAGCACTGGTATTTATTCTTTATTTTATTTTATTTATTTTTTAATTGTTACTTTTGATGGATTTAAGAATATGCAATCATCAGCCCCTGCTTTTGTCACATCCCTTGTGATTTTGTCCACTCTATGAAGATAGCCAAATTAACAGGAAAGACTAGTTTCTAAGAATACAAGCATACTGGTAAAATATTTTAAGACACCATTACTTACAGCAGGATGACAGAGAAAAGTGACATTGAGCTGGAATTCATTTAATCATACTATCTCTAGATATTGCTCAGTTCTTTATCTATGGACTGAATACTTTTTTCAATGCCAAATATGTGGTAGATATGATGTTACCTCCACCTGGGAGACAGTGGTGAACAAGGCAGATGTGATGTCTCATCTATGGAGCTTGAGGAACTAACAGGTACCAGAAGGAACAGCCCAGGTGCTGTAGGAGAACCTACCTCTGTGCAGGTAGTTAGGATCCTCTACCAGAAATGAGCAGGAGTGAAGCAGGCAAACATGACCTAGAAGAATGTAAGAATCTTCTGGAAACCTTCTGAGTCTTCTTCCTTCTGCCATAAGACAGACAGAAAGACACACATGCACACCCACACACACACACACACACGCACACACACGCACAGCGCTCTAAGGATTTTGAATTAAGGCTATGTATTTCTGGAAAGACCTAGTGATCTGGGACTAATTATATTTCTTTAACCTAATTTTCCTGGGTTAATTGCTAGTAACTGAGCTGAAATAGGCTCTTGTGGGTCTTTACTATATGTCTTGACTATGTGGTGTCCCAAATCAGTATTAATGATACAGGCTCTCTATGTGTAGACTAGCTTTAGTTTTCTCTCTTTCTGGTCTGTCACTTGATTCCCCCAAACCACAAACTCCTGTGTGGCTGACAAAATTGCCCTGGAATGCAGGCAGTGGAAGAACACATGTCATTCCATTTATAAGCCTATCTCGTTCCAGCCCTCAGTTGAAAGGGATTCTGCTAATCTTGGAAACAACTAGACACATTTTCATTTAATTAAGATGAGTTCCCTTTTAACTGTTTACATACAGTAATGGATAATTTGCATCCAAGTCTAAGAAACCATTACTTTTTTCCTTTCAAAGAATTCATGGATGCAATTAACAGTCAACCGCCAATTACAAATTTCTGCCCAGTGGTATTCCCAGGTCTTAATTAACATCTCTGACAATGACAAACAAAACTTTAGCTTTTTCTCAGCAGCATGGACAGTTAGAAACAGGTTAGGAATCCTGGAACGGAAGCCTTTGCTAGGTTCTCTAGATTTCAACGTTTCCAAAATAACTGACCCAAAAGGCAGTGTACAGGGCTCCTCAAGTACTTTTGAGAAGTTATCAAATCAAGGCCAATCGGTACAGGAGCCTTCTGACTTGGCAATGCTTGGTACTACCAACCAGAGAATCGAGAACAACAGAGAAGCCATCTTGGGTTGTTTAACTGGTTCTCCAAGTACATTACTTAAGACAGTATTTACTGATTATCCAAAATGTGTTAGAATTACAGTCAGCTTAGAGTGAGGGAGGCACAGTGCTTCTTTTCAAATGCCTCCTTCTCTTCTTCACTGCTCCCCTAGACCAGGGATGTAGGCAGGAAGAGGGACCAAGTACTGTTTTCACTGGTCCATTGCCGAAACACCTGCTATTCAACATAAGCAGCTTTCTTCTCTCACCCCAGCCATCAGTCATTACGCCCTGATCCCACATAGCAAGTACCCATCCCCTGCCTCGTTCCACTCTCCACTGCTTTCCCCTGCCCTCCAAAACACTGCCACCCTCTTCCAAGTGCCTTAGACCAATGGAGATGGAGGGCCGAAGGGACCTCATGAGGTCATCTCGTCCAGCCCACATGCCCCTGCCCTGCCTGCGCCCATCCCAAGAGTGGCACCCATCTGGGGCACAGACTTGCAGCTTTGTGAAACTAATGCCTGTTATTCTCCCCGCTCTCTCCTTTGTCCCTACAGTGCCATGGCTACTTATTCTGCCACATGTGCCAACAGTAGCCCTACACAGGGCATCCACATGGCTAACAGCATTGCCAACCTGAGACTGAAGGCCAAGGAGTATAGTTTACAGAGGAACCAGGTGCCAACAGTCAACTGAGGAGAAAAATAATTAAACAGGCCTGAGAAGAAACCAAAAACCATAAGACACCTCTCCTGTTCTGTCATTTCTTCATCTGCTGGAAAACAAAACAAAACAAAAAATAATAAAAACAAACCAACCAAAACCAGAACTAAAATTTTGGGACCATGGCAGAGAAAAACAGGAGAGGAGCCAAAGGAAAATTAGTTACCAAATGTTCCTCCTCCCTCTGGGACACCAGTACCACTTGTTTTCTGTGTGTGTTCATTGCTTTTTTCCTCCTAGTCACGTGCTTTTGCTTAATATACTCCGAGCTTCTTCAATTAGTTCGGCCCACCCACCCCCAGGATTGTATGGGTTTAAAAAAAAATCGACAGCAGCCAAAGAAACCATCTATGTATATTTTATATTCAGAATAACTGCCTAGAGCCTCCTCACTGGCATGTTTCCACCTCAGTACCTTACCTATCCTTCTTCCTAGTTCTCTGTATAGAAGCTTCTAGAAACTTCTGAAAAGCCCAAGTCTTTCTGAAGAATCTGTGCCAGACATGATTTCCTTTCTCGTCTCCATCTCTATTGGTCATGGAAAGGTTTTCCCATCAGCTACCGGGGGAGAAAGAAAAAGCAATTGTGTACCATACCTGGTCACTGGCCTGTCTGATCCACGAGGATTGGCTGTGTCTGGCTAATGCTAAGCTCTAACCTCCCGATCTAAGTTCTATGCTGATAATATCGCCATCCCCCCTACCCCCCATCTACACAATCAGCTATCTTAAGTTAAAGATATTTGTTGTTTCTGAATGACTTGCTGTCATGGGCTAGTGGATAGGTAAAACACTTTTCACTTGAGAGAGAGGGAGAAAAGTTTCTCTCGGAAAACAAAAGACTGAGTCGTGAAAGGCATGGCCTCCATCTCTGTGGAGGGTAGTCATATGCACACTTCTATATATACTGTATATATTTATATATTATATAGATATAAAATATCCTCGCAAGCTTGAGTTTGCAGTTTCTCAAACACCACAACAAGCAAATGTCACACCGTCACCCCTGTCCGCATCTCTACAGCGATGAGAACTTTCAGTGGGGCTGTTGTTTCCTTTTTGCTCTACACAAAGTTCTCATTAGGCCACAGAGCAATTGATAGGGCAGCTGTTTGGGAACAGATCTCATTGTCACATGAGGGCTTGAAATCAAGGAGAAATGTTTTGAGGCTAGAAGAGTGTCCTTGAGTTGGGAGCCTGCGCTCTGGTGGAAGGCTGATACCACCTGATTCATCACGGGAATGGCACTTAGAGAGAGGAAAGGAAACCATTTGGTCATCTGTCCTTGCTCCACTCAACCAGAATCTGAAAGATACATGTTTAAGTAGAATATGTAAGGGCTTGTCTACGTTTCCAAAAAGGCAATGATGGGCTATTTTTATCTTCTTATATTTCGAAATAAAGTTTAGTGGCTCGGGCTGGGAGCCAGGATGGACCTTTCTATGTTTCTTTCTCTTTGTTTCCAGCTGTGCTTTTGTAACTTGTCAGGTGGACTTGACCGAACCACATTACCATGCGGTGCCTCAGTTTACCTTTTTGTAAAACCGGTTTAACACTACTTACCTACCTCACAGGGGTGTTGTGAGGCTCTCTATTCATTTGCTCCTTCGTTCTTTCCTGTGCTCTCTGTATGTCCAGCACTTTGTAGCCATAGGAGGGAGGGACTATAAAAGTATTCGATGTTAATGGAAGGAGATGGTACCTGGGAGCCTTGTTTGCTAGAAAGGAAATGCAATCTTGCTGTAAATACTTACAACCTTTAAGAAATGAAATGAGAGCTAGGTTTATATTTACAGACCTCTCAAAAAAATCACATCATTTGACCAAAGAATAATTTAAGACACAGCACACATACACTTTCGATTTATATTTTCATCCTATATTTTCAGCTTGGCTCTAATAATTTTAGTGATCAGTTATTCAAAAGCTTTAGATCAATTTTGGCCTCACGTGCGAAACTTTGAGTGACAGGCAAGGAATCTGGGGTTGAACGTGCACTTTCAGCTCTCATTTGTTCCTTCCTTTGGCATACCAGGTTGAGCTCACAGAGGCATTGTTTCAATCACACAGCCACCAATTTGAAAATGTATTGCCAATGTTGATGCTGCACTTCTTTCGATCACAAGAAGAAAGCCCATCTTCTGTATTTTGCTTTCATCAACTGATTCCCTTTTCTTTTCACCTACTGTTCAAACATTTCTTAGTGAATGGTTCATGTAGGCTGGCTGAACAACTCATGTTACTTGCTTCCTCAAGGGTCCCTGGACTAATTATTTTATCCCACGAGCTGCTGTGGATTATTGAGTTTTAAACAAACCATGTGTCCTAACAGATTAAAACATTCTTTGTGAACTGAGTGCAGCCCAAGAAATTGGTCGACTTTTGCAGTGTGGAGTTTGGGGAGAATGGCTAAAAGTGGATTTGGGTTACAGGGGCAGGGAACGGAAATCATATGTGAAAAGATTTTGCTATGAAGGGGGGAATATTAGAAGAGAGAGTCAGGAGATAGAGGGTCACGTGAAACAAAGCCATCTGCAGCTTTCATCTGATATCCATTTATAGTGGTGAACAGAAAAACCTGAACCCATAACCCAAATGCCAGGTGCAACTGGGCAGTTTTCGCCATGCCTGGGCAAGGGATGTCTGGGAATCCCAGGGGGTCACCAGTGCTTGTCAACCAGAGCAACTTGCATTGTTGGTGACTCTATACCCCAAGCACCTATTACCTAACCACTTGATCAAGACATCTACCCATGAGACAAGCACTCATTTAGGATTGATTTAAAATAAACTGAAGTAGGATATGTGATTTGCAAGAGTCGCCCTCTGGGTCCTAAGCCAGGTGTCCACAGAGGGTCTCGGGGCCACTGAGTTCAAAGGCATCCCCTATTCCTCACTGTCATTACATAGATACAGATGAGTACATGCAAACCATCTGTCCATGAGGTCCCCAGTCCCTCCTAAACATGATGTCAATTTGTGGGGTACATGGCAGGTTAAATCAAACCAGAAGAGGTGACTGAATAAAAAAGGGAATGACATGTAGGTTATAAGGATCTCATAAGAAATGTAATATGTAAATTATATCTTGCTTTATGATGTAAAATATACATTGTTTTGCGCTAGAATAGAAATGATTCCTTTTCAATAAAAAGAAAGAAGGATACTACACGTCGTCTTTTGTTATATACTCTTGAGTCGGCTGATTCTTTTCTCTTTGAATGTCAAAAACAGACTTGCTGGGATCTAAGATTACATTCAGAGGCGAGTGAAGGTAAGAGAGTTTGTAAACAAGAGAACTTTCCCTAGAGTGTGACATAGGATTTCCTAAAAAGGAAAATAATCTATTGTTCCCCAAAAGCAAAGACAATAGTGGGAGGAAGCGGGGGCATCGATAAGTGTAACAGGAAAGTGTAGGGCGAAACTTTTATGAACATTTAGCTAGTTTTCACCCACATTTTTATCATCCACAGTACAGGAATGAGGAATTTTCATTCAGGGGCCATGGCTAATAGGGCGAAGAGCTAATTTTGCAGCAGAGTGGAAGAAAACACGAAAAACTGAAGTTCAGCCTTCACCTTACAGGGTATTGTGTGTCAGACAGAGGAATCTGGACTTTTTCTCAATCTATGGAGAACCACTGAAAGTTATTAATCAGGACAAAGAAGTATGTTAGGCAAAAAAAAAATACGACTTTCATGGAATTATTATGGTCAAGGAATGAAGACAAGTTAGAGCAAAACAAGATCTGAAAGCAGAACAGATAGATAGGGAACAAAAACAAAAGGATAAAAATAAAACATTCTGCTAGGAGACAATCAACAGGACTTTGTGGCAGAAAAAAGAGACTGAAGTCCGACATAACCCTGGTTTCAAACCTGCGTACTAAGCAAATGAGTCACTGACAAAACTGACAAAAATCAACAAAAATCAGGAGACACCCAGTTACAGGGGATGACGCTCACACTTTTAGATGTATTATTGAATTTGAAAACTGAAATGTAAATGTCTAGTAAGTGAAGATATGAAAAGTAGAGCTTTGATCCAAGGTCAAGGAAGGAGATAGAAGTTTGGGATTCATCTTTAAGGAGGTGGCACCTTGAGGTACAAGAGTGAATGAGTTCTTCCAGAAGAGAGAGTTGTGTCATTGTGACTCTAATAATTATTTCAATAAATGACTTTTGGAAGAAGTTACAGCCAGGGAGCAAGATTAAACTTTAAAGAACATGTACCATTGGGGAGAGGGCAATTTACAGGGGGCTGTTGAAGGGATAGGAGGAGGATCTGCTTATTGGTTATCCCAGAGTTAAGAAAAGAGGAGTTTAAAAAAAACAAAAAGGAATGTCGAATATATTCAAATGCTAGGGCAACTAAATGGACATGGAGGAAAGGCCACTGGAATAGTGATTTTCTAGAGTACAGTTTATTCTAGAGTGCTGGAGGATGAAGGTAAATTTGGCAAGTGATGATATAAATGCTTAAAAAATGGATAAACAGTAATTTAATAAAAAAAAAAGGAAGCACTGGCCACAGAACACTTGCTAGAGACTTTCGACATTGAAAGCTTATCAGTATGGATTCTTTCAGCTGCAGGTGGCAGAAACCTATCAAACTAGTTTCAGTCACAAGGGCTTTATTTAAAGGACATATGGTTGCCCACTGAACCTAAAAAATATACTGTTGGAGCCAGAACAGCTCTGGAGATGATCCCAGACTCTGGAATGAGGCCCATCCATACCCTTAAACAGGTCAAGTCCACATACCTGGCCCTGGTCCTACCAATACTCTTCTGACTGTACCCCTCCCCTGGGCAAAGAGTCTGCGGGGCCAGCTGGATGGGCCCACTTGGAACCTGCACCCCCTCTTTGTAGACCATCTTTCAGGCGTCTGGGATTTGGAATTCCAGGTCCAAGCAATTCAGGTTCCACTTTCAGGGCCTACATGGGCCTCTTCCTGAGACCAGTTTGTGGTGGTCAAGTGTGTAGAGGGACCTTGGATACACATGACGCAGTTGCCACCTGTGTGTGCACAGGTCTACCTCTGGTACAGGATGGGGTTGGTGTGAGGAGAGAAGTGGGCAGGCCACAGGGACCAGAAGCCAGTCCCTCCACACTGCCATGCTCTAGAAAGGAACCCCTAATTGTCTGAGAATCCTAAGTGTCAACCTGACTTTTCAAGTCATTATGAAGTTATGTTCATTAAGGTAGGAGGGTAGAACATAATCCATCTAACATTTTCTTAGCTTGACTTATACCATAAATGCAGGGGTGTAACTATGTGGACCTCCATTTTTACTCTTGCCCAGGCTCTGCTATCGCATTCCAGGGGGTGAGCGACATCCACCTCCTTAAAGACCTGGCTTGGCTGCCATCTGATTCCGTTTCTGGAGACCCCATTAACCAGAACCTATGCCAGAAATGTTGAGTCATAATTCTCCATTCTGAATCCATCCCAGTTCCGCTTTTTTATTTCTCTTAGAAACAGGACTCAGAGCTCTCTCTCTGCCCATCCCTCAGACCTCAGTATAAAGGCTCCATCTTGTCTTGTGCCTTAGGACAGAGTGACAGAAGAGCTTGGAAGAATTAACCTGCCCCCACCCCTCAGTATATGTGATTTACAATAGATGAGGGTTTCTTTCACACCTTCTATGGAGCCTGGGAGGAAAGGGGTAACAGAGAGGTTTGGAAAGGGGCTGGGAAAGGAGGCTTCTAGCCATTTTTCTAGGTCCTCTTAAGTCCCGATACTTCCCACTGTGTTTCAAACCTCCTGCCTTTGCCTGAAAAGGGGGAGATTCTTTTCTGTATCACAAAGTTTGCTGCTGTCTGACCCACAGGAGTCTTGGAGATCTGGCATTGGGCTGACATCCTCCTCCACAAAACCGCTTAGGTCACTCTAGGTTTCAAGGCTTTATAATAAATAATGCTCCATGTTTACCTGTCAATTTCTGTATGGTCAGATACATGTCAATTGCAAGTGGCAGCAACCTAACTCAAATTAAGTTGGGGTGGCTTAATCCATGAGATGGATGGAGGGTAGATCACAGAATGAAAGGAGGGGCTATAGGAATCAGAGGAGCTGGAGCTGAGACTTGACATCACCAGACCTCTCTGTCTTAGCTCTGCAGACAACTTTTCTCCTTGTAGTAGGGAAAGTGGCTTCTGGCAGGTGAAGACTGACATCCATTCAGCTTTGGAAGAAAGATCTGAGAAACAAGGTCCTGTTATGAAAATGCTGGGAGAGAACTCGCCTGTCCTGGCTTGGTTTGTGCATGCCCGTGACCCATGCACAGTGCCCTGGAGGTGGGGGGGGTACTGAGCGTCCAGACCAGGACTGCCTACCTGTGTTAGGCCCCAACTGAGTACCAGCGCAACTCCTATTGTCCCCACCTCTGGCTCTAAGTCACTGCTGCAGCACTCAATCCCCAAGGTATTGCCACCAGTTTTGTTGACAGAATCTCAATGGAACCAACGGATAAAAGCTCCCCACTTCCATTTGTAGCCACACAACTATTGAGTATCAGTCCCCGTAGTGGGGGTGGCCACCTTGGTAACACATCCTTGTGTTGGCTTTTCATTTTTACCTCATTATTCTCCTGGCTCCTCGTTCCTGTTCCCTGGGATCACTTTCCAAATAAACTACCTATATACCAGCCATTACTGCTGACTATGCTTTTTGAGAGGCCAAGGGGCACCCTCACCAATGTTAAGGGGACTGAGAAGGGGACCTCTTCTTACCAGAAGGACACGACATGTAGGCAGACAAACACAGCACAGATTTTCCAGAGCAAGGAAGACGGTAAAAAGCGCTTTTGATTGTAAATTGTTTTCCATCACAATTGCTATGAACTATTTCTTCTTACTACTGTTAACTGCAAATACTTCAATTACAACTCCACCAACTCCTTTCCTCTTTCCTGTGGAAGAGAGAACTAGCATTCGCACAAAGCCCACTTATTCTTCTTTCTGGGCACACAGGTAGATTTCATTTCCCAGCATCCCTTACAGTTAGATGTGGTCTTGTGACTCATTTCTGGCCAATGAAATGTGAGCTGAAGTGGTATTTGACAATTTCAATCCTGGCTCCTACCTCCTATTTTCTTCCCTCTGTCTAACTGATCTGACAACCTCTGATCAACTTTGGGAGCCACGTTTTAGTCAACCTGGGACCCTGAAAAGTGACTGCAGGAAGCAAAGCTGCCACCCTTGTTGACCTGGAATTATCATGGAGTTTCTGACCGAGAAATAAAGTTCTATTCTGTTGAACCATTAGACAACGTCTACTTGTTACTGCAACTCAGCCCAACCTCACTAATACACTTCCTTCCCCTTTTCTTCTCTTTCCCCTTTTTGTTTCCTCCTTTCCTCCCTCCCTCCCTCCCTTTCTTCCTTCCTTTTCTTCCTTCCTTCCTTCCTTCCTTCCTTCCTTCCTTCCTTCCTTCCATACCACATGCATTTCAAGATCCTTGTTGTAATTCATGGACTTACAATCTCAATGACCACACATTCCTGTCCCACATTAGACATTTTAATATTATAATATATAGTTAGCTAACATCTTGTGCCCTTTGGATTATACTTAATAAAGTAATTGAATATTTGAGTAAATCAGACACTAAATAACACTTTCAATAAATGAATGCCTGACACTCTGGAGATCCTGGAAAATATTTCAAAATGTTATTCTAGTTATAAAAAGACAGCATTCCTCAAAGAAAGACAGCCAGGTTGTCTGCAAATTGAAGGCATCTGAAAACTATTTCTTGGAGTCACATATTTATTTGCTTAATGTCACTTGGTGAAGTGGAGGTAAAGTAAGACCAGCAAAATGGGGCCGCCAGAGAAACTGACATGTTCACAGGAAAACATGAACAGAAACGGTTATTGCACAATGGTGTGCAATACAAAGTACTGGAAACAAACGACACGTCCATCAACAGGAAAATCAACACACTCTGATCAACTCACACAACGGAATACTATTCAGAAACAAAAAATGAATAAATGAACCAGGCTACACACATATGCACTTTGATACCTCTCAGAACCATAACGTTCAAGGAGAAAGGAATAAGTTTCAGAAGCCTATGTGATACTATTTGTATAAAGTTTTAAAAGGCACACTGATGTCCTATGTTGTTTGTAAACATATAAGTAAGTA